GACAAGTATTAACCTTTACATAAATATATGACGAGTCATGACTTTTTATGTCCGTAATCCGAGGTTATTCATATCGACACACTTTGCCAAGTTCGAGACATATCCATCCGGAAACTTGAGTTGTTTAATCCATTATAGCAATTGTATTTTTTGTTGTTTATCTAGAGTGTAACAAGCTTTTGGGTATTTTCTAAAGTTTTCATCTATTTTTAATTCGAGTCGTCGACAATATAGCCTCAAGTCTTCTTTAGAATTTACATTATCCTTTGTTTTTTTCGACATACTCATAACCGTATTAAACACATTATCAAAGAAATTTTTTTCAATGTGCATCATATCCAAATTATGCCTAATTAGATTAGAACTCCAATAAGGTAGATCCTAGAATATAATACAGTTTTTCCAATCATAATACTTAGATATATTTTTTTTATACTTATCGGAGCCCTCTTTCGTTACTTTTAACAACCCCTAATGGTTTAATTCTTGCAAAATTTCTATTTCGGACTTGATCGAAGGAGCAATGTCCGTAACAAATGTACTCGCTTGAACACATTTTTGTTTTGTCTAAAAGGATGGCTTTGTGGGAGAAACTTTTGATGGAAATCAAACCATAAAGTTTTTCTCGTCGTTACGGAGAGTCGAAAGCATTAGAATTTTCTATATAATATGGGCATGTTGTCTTACTCGCAGTACTTCAACATGACAACATTGAATATGCAAAAAAATCGCTAATTATCCATATGACGAGTAGCTCTCATATGAAAATTATCTTTATGCGACACATTATAAGTAAGAGCACCTACTTCCCACAATTCAACCAACTCTTTAATTAAGGGTTGTAAGTATACGTCTAGATTGACTTTAGGATTTTTAGGATGTGGGACAATTATAGTTAAAAACATATATTCTTCTTTCATATATTTTCACGTCGGTAAATTATAAGGCGTTACAATCACGGGCCACGAAGAATATTATTGTCCGGAGTTGACCAAAAAGTCGAAACCCATCGGTCTGCAAACACCTAATCTTACATTTTTAATTTCGATGCAAATGAAAAATGTGTTTGGTCAAAATACCACCATGCATAGGAATCCGAACAATGATGCATGATGTTTAACTCAACTACATATTGCGCATGCCACATCATGTCGCTAGCGAGTGGCGATTGATGCATACATCCTCCGTAATCGTGAGGTAAGGGAAAATAATACATTTTTTTACACGGGATATATGTTTGTCTAATTGATCTTCACTTAGGGTTTCGATATCGAGGATGGTCATATATTTTACAAATGATTCTTTTGCTATCTTCACCCCAATAAATCATGCAATCGTTTATGCAACTCGTGGATCTTTTCAATGGGTAAACCCATCATTTTCACCATTTTTTTCGTACTCGTAAAATTCTTCCGGCATGCGATTATTGACAAGCATCAACTCTTTCATAAGTTGACATAAGTCATCGTAACATCTCTCCGAGAAATGATGCTCATACTTGAGATGTAACAAACGAGATGTTGTCGATAATCGTGAATGGTTTTTTGAACCAGTCCATATTTCTCTATTCAATACAATTAACAAATCGTAAAACACTTGGGCATTAGGGTTTAGGTCTTCATCCGTGTTAGATAGATTAAATGATGGACCACTTACATCCATCACCATTGTACGGTATTGATTGACTTGAGAATCATCAAATATTTATTCTTGTTGAGCATAATTATTCGAATTATCATAATAAATGATCGAATCATTCTCTCCATGACGTCTCCACACATAATACCCGGACACAAAACCATATCACATCAAATGATATTAATGGTATCGAGCTCAACATAACTACGATTTTGACATTTTTTAAGTTTATAAAGACATCGTATCTTATTTCCATCCATACACTCTAGATGACTAACGAAAAAATTAATAAATTCGTTAATCTCATCTACGAAACACCGATTTAATAGTCCATCGGTTAATCTAAAGTCAATTCATGAACGATCTGAATTCATTTTAAACTAAATTAATTTTGTAATTACTAATTAATTGTGTAATTAAAATAAATTATAAATATTTCAAATAATTTAATTACTAAATTAACTTAGTATTAATAAATCAATTATTAATCAACAACTAATTTATCAAAATATATTATTGACTTATTAACTAAATTAATTACCAAGTCATTTACTTAATTATTAACTGAATTAACTAAATAAAATTAATTTTTTAAATACTAAATTAGATTTCGATAAATATTTAATTTTTTAATCACTAATTAATTTTGTAACTACTTACCTCCTTTTTTTAAAATCTAATCAACAACTAAATAAACTTAATAACTAATTAATTTTTTTACAACTAAATACAATTTACAAATAATTACAATTTGTAACAACTACTTAATTTTGTAATTACTTAAATCCTTCATTTAATCAAAAAGTAATTTATCGAAATATATTATTGACTTATTAACTAAATTAATTACCAAGTAATTTACTTAATAATTTTCTAAATTAAATAAATAAACTTAATTACTAATTAATTTTTTAAATACAAAATTTGATTTCGATAAAAATTTAATTTTTTAATCACTAATTAATTTTGTAACAACTTAACTCCTTTTTTTAATCTAATCAACAACTAAATAAACTTAATAACCAATTAATTTTTTATAACTAAGTATAATTTACAAATAATTAAAATTTGTAATAACTACTTAATTTTGCAATTACTAAACTCCTTCACTTACTCAAGCAACTAATTAAACAAACTTAATTAATAGTTCATTTTTCAATTACCAAATATAATTTCGAAAATTAATAATTTTGTAATTGTTAAAATTTTCTACAAAATTATTATCGATTTTTTCAATTAATTAATATTCCAAAAAATCATAAATTAAACTAACTAAATTAATAATTAAAAATATTTAACAATAAACTTACTTAATTAACAATTAAATATTACCAATTAAGCATACAAATTAACAATTAAACTAACAACAATAACAATTAAATTAACAACAAAAAATAATAACGATCAAAATTTTTAAACAATTAAACTAACACAATTAATGCAAATTCATAACAATTGCATTTATTTAATAATTAAACTAACTAAATTAATAATTAACACACAATTAACAATAACAATTAAAAAAATAACCAATAACACAATTAACACTTACACAATTAACAATTAACACCAAATTAACAATTAACACTAACCAATAACACAATTAACACTAACAATTATCAATAACATTGAAAATTAAATTAAAAAATAAATTAATTAAAATCTAATTATGAAAAAAAATGTAAAAAATTTAAAAATTAATTGAGGAGTTAGATGAGGGAGGACCTTTCACCCATACAAGGAGGATAGGAGGCTACACCGGTAGAGGAGCTTCACTGGAGGTGGTTTGGCTGAATCCGAGCTTCAAGAAAGGGGAAGAAAGAGAGAAAAAAGAAAGAAAATGAGGGAGAAATGGAAGGGAGAAAGAGAAGGAGGAGAGAGAGAGGAGGAGATTGGAAGCAAAATGAAAGAGAGAGGGAAGATTTTATGGGAATTTTAGGCTAATCGACGCTGGAAGGTGGAGGAGAAGAAGAGAGGAAGAAGAGAAAATTTGGGAGAAAAATTCATTTTAGCAACAAACCACGATCCGTCGTTAAAACCGTCATAAAAGGCTGAAAATAGTCGTTTTTCTCCCAACTCGGAGGATTTTGACAATGGTTTAGCGACGGATTGTGGTCCGTCGTCTGAAATTGAAACTTAGCAACGGTTTTTGGAAAAAAAACCGACGCTAAGTTCCTTAGATTTTTTGCTTGATGTTCGTCACTAAATTTAAAAATTAGAGATGGTTTTTGGAAAAAAAATCATCACTAAGATATTTTGTTTATCGACAATTTACGTAGACAATCACTCAAAACGGGTCTCCAAAATTATTTTTTTTAGTCCCTTGCAAAAGTTCTTCATACCCTCACAAATTTCGTTAATTAGCGATAGTTTTTAGACCGTCGCTAAATGCCCCTCGCAAATCTCCACCTTCCTTGTAGTGTCGGTGGTCGGAATTGAGTAATTCTTATTACTTTGAAATCATCTCGACCGGACAATCACGATGGTCCGACTCGTGTTGGTATAAGGAGTCGAAAGGCAAGAGGCGGCGGCCAAAACTTTTGCTATTGTTTTGTCTTTGATTTTTGGTTGCTAGGCTTTTTGGGTCCGGGAGTCAGCATGCATGTTTTTCTACTCCATAATTTTCTTTATTATATAAGCTTTATGATACATTAATTATCGAGCATCAAAATATCAATCAAAAGAAATGTTTTTATAATCTTTGTAGTAATTTTTCATATTTGAGAGATAAGAATTTATGAAGACTTAACTTAGGAAAATGAGAAGTTTTGGTGGTTTTGATCTATGGAGGTTGGTTTCTAGTTGGGTTACTAGGATTATTGTGTTTTTACTTAGAGAAATTTTCTCTTGAGAAAAAAAGTTTTGTATTTTGTTATGGAGTTAGGAAAGCTTTGTAGAATTGTTTGTGGTTAGGGCTTGTTTTGATTGCTTAGCACTACTTGTTTGACAAGAAAGTTAAAAGAGAAACTCGAAGAACTCGAACTAGGACACTTAGGTTTGCGGTTTTGGTGTGTTTAGTGGTACCTTGTTGTGGCTGGTGAAGACTTTATTTATTTATTTTTATTAGATGGAGAGTCATAGCCCTAGACAAAAAGATTAACTAGTACAAAATCTTGACAAAGCTAATCCGTTGATGTCCTTGTGAAATAGTTTTCCACAATCCACCAGTACATCATGAAAATATGTGACACTAAGAGGTAAGTCAAAAGCAACAGATGCTAACCATGGTGAAGACGTTATTGGTTAAAGAACTTACTTCTTCATTTCATGTGAGCACTTAATTTGATCGGATTTAGGAATTGTTGTTTAAATTAGTATGTAATTAAAAGCTTGTCTGGTCTCTTTTTGTTTGAAATAAAAAGGAATAAAGAGGAGGAAGAGATACTTCTTGCTGAGGTAGAGAAGCTGCGGACTGCAGGTGCCACCGTCCTACCCCCCGGGGTCTTAAGGCAACCGCAAAGTGAAAAGGTGATAGGAAGTGGTAGGTTCCAGAAAAGCCCTCGGTACCCCACGCTCTTTCCAACAGGTTGACAAGGGAGATTAGGGGATAACGATCGATCACTTGCACAAATTGAATCCGAAGAATGTTTCTTTTTGGAATATGAAGATGTCGATGAATATAATTCGGCATGGAGCTCTGTCCACGTTGGATTAGCATATACAAAATTCTAATCACATTGATGAAGAGTTTGCTGCAAAGATTAGAAGTGAATTTGAAGCAAAAGCTGCAGCAAAAATATATATATATTTCACAAAAGACAATTATTGTATTTTAAAGCCTATACAATAAAGATTAGAAAAATACTCCTTTTAAGTTAATATTTTGATGTTCTATAATTACTGTATCTTAAAATCTATACAATAAAGAAAATTATGAGTATATAATTACATAGCATCACATTCTAGTTTAGAAGAAGTTAATATTTTGATGTTCTATAATTACTGTATCTTAAAATCTATACAATAAAGAAAATTATGAGTATATAATTACATAGCATCACATTCTAGTTTAGAAGAATTGTTTGGAACACTAAATGATTAGTACAAATAGAAATCATGTTTAAAAGTTGAAAAATTACAATTGTTCATGAAATTACATATATGTTGAGTTTTAAATGAACTATAAGTTGTTTATCTATATATGTAGCTCTTTAAAATTAAATTTTTATTTAATATAATATATGATATTGTCTCAATTTATGATATTCATTTGACTTGAATTTTTGACATGATAATATATATAAATATCTGATTGTATTCTGTGGTTAGTTAAGTTAAAATTGAAATAGATTTTTTTTTAAAAAAGTTTTGTAACTATGTGATAATTTACATAATTTATAGGAAATGATTTTTTAAAAGAAACATATAGCGATTCGAAGACCATGGATAAAAACTTTCTCAAACTTTTTAGAATTTGAAGAAGGTTAGGATTGTAATTATATGAAAGAATTATTGTCAATGTGAAAAAAGAAACAAAAATTTAAAACATTTCGTAGATTTTTTTTTATATCAGTTGGAGTAAATAAACTTTAAATCAAATCTAATACCATATTTATTATATTTAAATAATAATATTATCAATTTCATCCCATTATTATAAAATTTAATCGAGATAAATTTATATTTGATTTATTTAATAAATAAATTAACGAATTCAATTCATAATTATATTTGATCATATAAATTGTATATTAAATTTATTTATTTATGTCAAAATCGAATTCAAATTGGAGTCAAAATTTAATCTATGAATAGCCTTAACCGTAAAAGTGTACTTGCATTTAATAAAATATTACGAGAAATTTTATAATACTCAAGGAGTAACTAATAGCATGTATAGTAGTGAAAAATTTTATAATACACCGGGAGTAACTAGTGGCATGTACGAGTAGTTACTCCATGGATCCACTTTGAGGAGAGAGATAGACACATAAAAAAAGATAGAAATTACATCTATACCCATCAAAAGTGCTAAGAAGATTTCTACGTACGCTCAAATTTTTTTATTTTTTCTCTCCTGTTTCTCTCTTTTTTTTTTTTGTATGTCTATCTCTCTTTTCAAAGTGAGCCCATGGAGTAACTACCGTACATGTCACTAGTTACTCCTAATGTATCATAAAATTTCTCGTATAGTAATTACTCCTTGGGCCTACTTTGAGGAGAGAGATAGATATATATATATATATATATATATATATATATATATATATATATATATATATATATATATTATATCCATACCTATCAAAAGTGATAAGAAGATTTTTACGTCCGCTCAAATTTTTTTATTCTCTCTCCTATTTCTTTTTTTTTTTATTTCTCTCCTCAAAATGAATAAAAAAAATAACTACTATGCATCATAATAATTACTCATTGAGTATTATAAAATTTTTTATTTCGTTTTTCTGATAAGTTGTGGCAAGTCAAACTCTTTCGTTTTGGCTCGAAGGTTTAGGCAACAAGGAAGCATTATCCTTCCTTGACAACTTTGTTGGCTGGCGGCCTGGGTTACGCTTGTCGGTCTGGATTCAGCCCGAGCATAAGAAGAGAATTTCGTTCCATTTTTAGTAAAATAGTGAAGGATATTTGATCGTTAATGAATAAATGGGTAGAAGGAATCCGTATATGTTGTTCAGGTCGATTAAAAGACGCAAAAATAGTTAGAACTGGATGCCGAAAGTATGGAAAAACATCTTTTGATGTATTTAACCATCATTGGATTCAGATTCCTACTTTTGTCTTCGGATTCCCATATAGGTTAGATTATGCATTTCACTCTACTTGTGATATTCGTCTTGTCTTTCTCATCTCGTATTATGAATAATAATAATAATAAAGGGCAGTCTCGCCAGAAACATCGACATCCATTTTTGTACCCGACTGAGTACGTGTATTATTACATTCCATTGAGTGCTAATAATCTTTCCACCTGTTGGAGTTATATCGTGATCTCATACGTGCACTGGGTAAAAGGTCTTCAGGCTGCAATATCATTGTTTACTATTTCATTGTAACTCTTCCTGCTGGGTTTCTTGAAATTTTTGTTTTTTCATATTGATATTTTATAGTGCATTCCATGACCCGTCAAAGTCGAAGGAATTCTATAATTCGCCGGTCAGTGATAAAATCTTACCATGCTTGATCTCCTTCCTTAATTACGAACTGCCTAACTAGGGAGGTTCACGGCATTGCAAGAGAAGGACCTGGAATTGCCTGTTTAGGGCTGGGCTACTTCAGTAATATTGCATGTGCTACAACTTTCAATTAATAGGCTTCTCTTACTACAAATTTTTCTGGATTTGATGCCCTGATAACTGAAATTGCGCCTAAATTAATTGGATTATCTCAGCTTGGAAAGATAAAAAATTGTATACATTTTGTCAGCTCGATCCGCTTGATTTTAATAATATTATAGTTCTCATGAATTATAGTTTGTTTTTTTTTTTATTGGATTAAGAAGGTAAAATTAGTCTTGTTGTGCAAAATCTCTCCCAAAAATATTCTTGACTTAAAAAAAAAAAAAAAAAAAAAAAAAAGAGCACAAACAGTTCATGCTTGGAAATAAAATTATGATTGATAGCAGAAGACATCCATAATATTTCTACCTATACTAAAGAGTTATGGTAGACATTTTACATATTCGACTTCCCAAACCCGGCCTAGGAGAAAAGAGAGAGGGAGGAACATCCGAGAAATTTATTTATTAATTTTTTTTTTTTTTTTAAGAAAAACATCTAATTCGTAGAAGGAAGAGGAAGATCCCTTTCATCGTTTCTCTAGGGCCCACGAACACCAGCCTTTGAAACCATGACCTACAAGGTTGTGCATTCCAGACAAGCCCACAAGGTATAGAGAGGGAGGCTAGTGAAAACCCATCCCTTTCTACTGTCTTCTTCTCTCGTCAGCATTATGCATGTTGCTTTCTGATAGCCTCGTAAAACATACATGCGGAAGCATCATAGTTTGACTCAACGAAAAAGTGCCAAACAAAACAACCATTGTCACCTTGACACCGAAACCAAACATTCCCAAATCCCAATCATTTTTCGCTCTTTTCTCCTGTTACGTCGCCGAGATTATGTTTTTTTATATATATATATATATATAACCTTAAATAAATCATCAAAGGTTATCATTAATATAACTGCCCAGCTGCTTCTCTTGTGTCGTGTTTGGTCATCTAATAACGTGACACCATGAGCTAAAAAGTGCATTTTTAGTGGTCCTAAAGAAATCGAATACGTTTTTGTCAATGACTCAACAATAACTAACTGGCCATGTGATTCCAATCAATACACGGTTCATACGTACTATACTATTAGTATAATACACTACCTGCATTACCTACTTTATGTACTCTTCCAATAACACCCTTATAAGGTTGTTCTCTATCTCAAACCACGCTAACATTATTCTTAAATGTACTTTTATATTAATTCAGATTAAATTTTTTATAAATATATTTAATATATTCAAAATAATTTAATAAATTCTTGATTTAAAATTTAAAAAATTAAGAAAAAAGCAATCATTTTTACCTCCCATCCAACGCCTAAACATTTATAAGTTGATTATATATATATATACTAAGAAGTTGATAACTATATCAAGGATCCAAAAAATGATTGCTTCATAAGTTTTATATGCCTATATATAGATTTTATATTCTTTTATCAACCATGCTAATATTATGCTAATCTTACGTAGTAATATTTTTTATAGAATTCACTCTCTTTAAAAAAAAAAAATCTTATACATTAAATGAAAAATTCTTATATTGAATAAAAGGATCTCGAATTCCATGTGAATTTATTTTGGTGTAAATAAATTTAATAAGAATATTATGCACTCTTCAGTATATATATAATGATTTCAGATTCACAGCCCTAGTTTACGCATAAATTTTAGGGTTTCTCTTTTGTCTTGATACCTTGGTTGATAGGAAAATTGGGACACAAAACAGTGACAATACGGTAAGGAAAAAGGAAAATTTTTTTTTCCCCCTTTTTCATTTAAAGGCGGTGATAATACAGTAAAAACGTAATAATGGCAACTCCATAATTTAGGAGGAAAGTAGGGTTTTTTTGAGAACCCAATACATAAATTAAATTTCCCCAATATATCTATCGCTTTCAGTCTTTAAAAAAGCTCAAGAACCCAAGCTCCACCTGTTACTGTTTCTTCTTCCCCCTCCCCCCCCCCCGCCTCTCTCTCTCTCTCTCTCTCTCTCTCTTTCTGTCTTTTATTATTTCTCGCTGCAGAATTCAACCGCAGTAGTTAACTTCAATGGTTTCTTTATTCACTGTACAAGCACACGCGTCCACACTCTTTCCTCTTTTCTAAGAATCCTAGAAAAGAAAACTCCTTTTCTTGATTTCTCTCACGCTTTCCCACGTTCCAAACGCCACTTATCTGTCTCCACATTATCGCAGCATACTCTTCTTTAGAATCACACTGTTAGTAATCACAACTCATCATGGCCCTTAATTCAACTGACCGGAAAGAAGTGATTTTAAGTATGGACGTGTTTGGTGATGATTGTGTTAAAGCTGGGTCCGCGAGTAACAATACTGTCGGAGGGGAAGGAAGAGGGATTTGGAGGGAATCAAGCTATGATTTCGTCAATGATGCAAATAAGAAAGACAAAGCACTTGCTATGAAAGGCGACAGCAACAAACACAACAATAATGATGGGAGTGGAAGTTACAGATTTGATTTTAATGGTCATCAGAACTGTAAAAGTGGTGTTACTGCAAGTGGTACTGGTAGTGTTTCAGCAATGGAGGAGGAAGATCCGCCCTCGAAGCTGATTGGTCGGTTCTTGCACAAGCAACAAGCATCAGGTGAGTTTTCTTTAGATATGGACTTAGAGATGATGACTCATCTCCAAAACGACACTGCTGTTCTTCATAAGAATTTACCTCCTGTTTCAGAGTCTCCTACTACTAATAATACGAATAGGGTCTCTTTTGACCCGCAACCACCTGCTTCAAGTGAGTCAGTGAGGAGGAGGAGGGACTTCAAAGATTCTTCTCCAGGTAAAGAAAGTAGTCCTGGTGGTGGTGGTGGTGGTGAGATTTTGAAGTGTAGTTCTAGAAGCGACGGGTCGTTATCTAGCAATTCGTCGTTTAAGAGGAAGTCTAGTTTGTTGAAGGAGAGGACAAAGTCTAGATTGATGGACCCGCCACCGCAGCCACCTGAGAAGTCAGGGAGAGTGATTGTTGGGAGGTCGGGGCTGTTAAAGTCAGGATTTTTAGGGAAAGGGAGTGTTGTTGATGAAGAGGAAGATGATCCTTTATTGGATGAGGATATTCCTGATGAGTATAAAAAAGATAAGTTTGATATTTGGATTTTACTTGAATGGTTGAGTTTGATTGTTATTATTGCGGCTTTAGTTTGTAGTCTTGCAGTTCCATATTTGAAAGATAAGAATTTGTGGAACCTTAGGTTGTGGAAATGGGAAGTTTTGGTTTTGGTTTTAATATGTGGGAGGTTGGTTTCTGGTTGGGTTATTAGGATTATTGTGTTTTTCATTGAGAGAAATTTTCTCTTACGAAAAAGGGTTTTGTATTTTGTTTATGGAGTTAGGAAAGCAGTGCAGAATTGCTTGTGGTTAGGGCTTGTTTTGATTGCTTGGCACTACTTATTTGACAAGAAAGTTGAGAGGGAAACTAGGAGTAAGACACTTAGGTTTGTGACTAAGATTTTGGTGTGTTTGGTGTTGGGTACCTTGTTGTGGTTGGTGAAGACCTTAGTGGTTAAAGTACTTGCATCTTCATTTCATGTGAGCACTTACTTTGATCGGATTCAGGATTCGCTGTTTAATCAGTACGTCATTGAAACCCTATCTGGTCCCCCTTTGGTTGAAATGAAAAGAAATGAGGAAGAGGAAGAGAGGCTTCTTGCAGAGGTAGAGAAGTTGCGGGATGCTGGTGCCACCGTACCTCCTGGCCTTAAGGCAACAACAAGCCCATCACCACCACAAAGTGCAAGGGTGATAGGAAGTGGTAGGTTCCAGAAAAGCCCTCGAATTGGTACTCCCAGGCTCTCTCGTACTCTTTCCAACAAGGTTGACGAGGGAGATGAGGGGATAACGATCGATCACTTGCACAAATTGAATCCTAAGAATGTTTCTGCTTGGAACATGAAGAGGCTGATAAATATAATTCGACATGGAGCTTTGTCCACACTGGATGAGCAAATACAAAATTCTAATCACGGTGATGAAGAGACTGCTACGAAGATTCGAAGCGAATTTGAAGCAAAAACTGCAGCAAGGAAAATATTCACGAATGTGGCTAGGCCAGGTTCTCGGTAAGTCCTTATTTCCACTCAATCTTCATATTTTGAGTTCCTTGTTAAATCATTTCTAGGTCCTAATTGCATATACAAAATAGTTTTGTGTTTGCATTAATGCGCTTTCACTCTGTTCCAGTATCTGACTTGCTCCATAAGGTTTCGGCATCTTGTTGGATAATATGGGCATTAACTACGTGAAATTTTACTGATTTCCAAATTGCAAGAGGCCCTGTTCCTAATGCCAGAAATTGATACAACTTTGATATGAAAGTAGTCATTTAGATGTTACTGGTGCAGAGAGATTATTGTTCTGTACAGTTTTGCTTGAAAAAATCTCTTAGGAAATTTTGTCTATAGAATGTCTTCTAGGACAAGGATCATTAAAGATATTCATTCTGAGTCTGTAAATTGATCTTTGTTTATGATACCAGTAGCTTGATAGTCATAAACGAATCTGTCCGTTCTTCGAGATGATTCTTGTCATTGTTTTGCCATGCAGTTATATCTATCGGGATGACATTATGCGTTTCATGCAAGAAGACGAGGCCATCAAGGCCATGAGCCTCTTTGAGGGAGCATCTGAAAGCAACAAAATCAGTAAAAAATGTTTGAAAAACTGGGTGGTAAGAACCAAGTAATTTTCTTTTTTTCTCCTTCTGGCTTTTTTTTTTTGTTTTTAGTTCTAGAATTTTGTTATGCTTGCTGAGTTTACAAACATCTCAAGGTATCTAAATGGAAGTAAGTGCAACGAACTCTTGCCAAAGCCTGAACCCTCTTGCACAAGTTTGGGCACTCATTTATGGTATTGGAATGAAAATCTTTTAACAATCTATAGGTCTATAACAATGTTAGAATTTGGACATTAAAGTCTTAAGGTGCAAAATTTGAAATCTCTTCTCCTAAAATATGCAAATAAGGAAGCTTGCTTTGTAGATTCAAATTTGGTGGGATATTTGCAAAGTTGTATTTTTTGGACATGAGAATGTAATTTACTACTTTATGATCATATGACAAGGCACTGAATTGATTGTGACAGGTCAATGCTTTTAGAGAACGGAGAGCACTTGCTTTGACACTCAATGACACAAAAACAGCTGTGAACAAACTGCATCGTATGGTGAATATTCTGGTTGGGATTGTCATTGTTGTTATTTGGCTTCTTATACTAGGAATTGCTACAAGCAAGTTTCTTATCTTTCTAAGCTCACAACTTCTCCTTGTGGCGTTCGTATTTGGGAACACCTGCAAAACCGTGTTTGAATCTATTATTTTTTTGTTTACAATCCATCCATTCGATGTGGGCGATCGCTGTGAAATTGATGGAGTTCAGGTATGTTAGATAATCTATGAATTGCATCACAATTTCATGGATTTACTGTGATAAAGTGCTGGCTTCTGTATGTTATGAGCCTAATTTGTTTTTCAACAAATTTCAGATGGTGGTAGAAGAGATGAACATTTTAACTACTGTCTTTTTAAGATTTGACAACCAGAAGGTAATAATCACGAACAGTGTTCTTGCTACCAAAGCCATTGGTAACTACTACCGTAGCCCAGATATGGGAGATGCAATTGAGTTCCTCATCCACCTAGCTACTCCAGCTGAAAAGATCGCACTAGTGAAACAAAGAATAAACAGGTAAGCACAGAAAGGATGGGTTACTTTTTGTCCTCAAATTTTCTCTACTGAAGTCATAATGGTATTTTAACATTGGTTGATTGCACAACATTTGGTTCTCCTAAAGCTGAGATCACATTAATAAAGTTACATTAAAAAACAAATAATCACATAGGGAGCCTGCAAATTCAATGGCTGCGATACTTTCAGGTTGTGGTTTTCATTCCAAAAGCACTTTTTCCCACATAAATATATGTCTAATGGAAGATTAAATCCAATATTATTGTCGTTTGAACTTGAGGTTGACTGAGTGGACCCTAGAATCTTGATCCAGATATTATTGCTTTGAGATGGAAAAGGCAGATACAGATACTGTTAATATATATATGCATGATTGCACGAGGTCATATAGTGAGAATTTTTGTTTTTAATGCTCTTTGCTCAATAAGGTTCTTGGTTCAATTGTTGATTGTTATTTCATTAGTCTATACAGGCATGCATTACGTTCAATACATATTTTATTTTAATTGATTATTTATGCTATAAGAATTACCAATGCATCTGCTGCTGCAGTTATATTGAGAACAAAAAGGACCACTGGTATCCTTCTCCCTTAATTATATTCAAGGATGCAGAAGACTTGACCAGGGTGAGGATAGCAGTTTGGTTGACACATAGGATGAACCACCAAGACATGGGAGAGAGGTATGTAAGAAGATCTCTTTTGCTGGATGAGATGATGAAAATTTTCAGGGAGCTCGACATTCAATATCGCTTATTTCCTCTTGACATCAATGTTCGTGCCTTGCCTCCTGTCACATCTGAGCGCCTTCCTGCCAATTGGACCAGCTGACGGATGAAACAAAGAAAGTAGATCACATAAAGTCACTCTGGCAATGAAGATCTCTTTTGGAGACAAACTAGTGTATGGGAAACGAGTACTTCACAATGAAATTGTTCAATGTAATATTCATCTTTTAGGGGACGAAAAGCACTACATTAGTACACAGCGACACCTCCTAACAAGTCGAACTGTTTAGAACTACATGTCAATTCATAATGTTATATATATATAATTTGCTACTGTAAGAGTCGGTGAATTCTTGTGGAGTCATTTTATGATTCTCACGGCAGCTGCCTTAGCTAATCATTTAAAGATGGATATGCCTGGCTAGGAAATTTGATAACTTCTCCCTATATGATGATTTTAATTTGATTGATTATCTGTAGCCACTTGACATGCGATACCACTGCATTTATATCTCTCATCGGTTTTTCTCGATGTTTTATAGCAGGGGTCCCAAAAGATGGCGGGATTGATTTGATACCTGTTTTATTTGGCTGTAGTTTGTGGCCAATGTGTGCAAATTTGCTTTCCTTTCAAGTTTTGTTAGACTATCATTTTAACTCATCTGTGTTGCTTTTCCGGCATAACCTAGTTTCTCCAAGTGGAAACAGGAACGAAAATAACAAGAATATCAAGTCCTGAGGAGTTGGGATTGCTGTCCTTGAACACATTCCATGCCACTCCTGGTGCGTTTTTCAAGTGTGGGGAACCTATCAACATGAAGAGAAACATCCCAGACCCAGACCATCTTATTTGTGATTATAAGTCAAAGAATGGCCCACAGAGACGCATCTGGAGTATTCTTCTTTCTGTCCATAGAACTGGTCTCCATTGGGTAGATTGGGAAACAGCTCAAGTCATCTGGGCCATTCCCAAGCCAGACATGAGCACAACTTTATCATTGGTTCAATGAACATGGGACCAGGCAAGCAAACCAATCTTCATCGGGCTGATTAAAAATTTGAAAATAATCATTTTATGAAAGAAAGTTAAGGTAAATTTTTTTTTCAAATTTCCTCTTGGATTTCATTTTTGTGACGAAGCTTCATGGGACAGTCCAGTGCCATTTGCAGCATTATCATCGTTATCATTGATAAGACTTCAGCTGTGCTGCAGTATTATGAAACGCTTAATGCCTGACATCCATGCTCATGCATGCTAGCTGACACTGAATGATGGAACTCTTCGCCTCCAAAAATCTTTTAACTAAGTCATTGATCATGACAAAACACAAATAACGTTGGCAGTTCTACAATTGCAGGCCAGACACACGCTAGAAGGCTACAGCAAGCTAAATAATCTTTTCTGAGAAATTATATCTAGATTAAGAAGCTGATATGCAACCGAGCCTGTAAGCTGAAACCAAGAGGACATCATTGGCCAATCTCCTGGAGATTAAGAATATATCACCATAAAAGCCCAGCTGATCTATCACCATATCAAGTTCATCAGCAGAAAGGAAAGGCGAAATTATGCCTCCTATGTGACAATAACCAGAACATCAAGTAGATAATACAAAATCTGAAAAAGGAAACTTTCACTGTTGTGCTTGAAGAGCCAGACAGCCAGCTTTCAACCTTTTAGTTAGGTTATACATATACATGGAAACAGACTGCGGATATCCTTACAAAAGATGTCTGATTGCCATTCAAACAACCATCGCTAGTTCTACAAAGCATTTAATAAAACCCACTCAGCACGCTCCCATCTTTGGATTCAGAATTTTTGAGAAACATAGATTTCCATCACGTTATTGAGTCATTTCTTGAACAAACTTCCTAGCTCATACAGATATCAAATGTCTCAGGTGAATGAATTATTGACTCAAGTACTGATGCCTTTTTATCTTACAAACTCCCAAGTAGCAGCAGAGAAATATATGGAGGAGCTCTAGTGTGAGGGGAACGCTACACAAATCAAACAGTAAATCCCCCTAAACCACCTCCCAGAATAACAGGAAGATATCATTGAAAACCTGTCATCAAACCCTTGGACATCCCACTTGATGATGAAGCTGACAAAGAAGAATCTAGAGTTGCCGCCGTCGTTTGGAAACAGTGCCATGCTGCTGATAGTGACGACGGTTTTGCACAGCTGAGCCACATATATCAGGGACAAAAATTGCTGTATCCGAATGGTTATGAATACTTCTTGGCCAGTAGAGCCCTGAGGCTGTAGGTGGGGAAGAAATTTGGGGCACTACCCAGGAGCTATCTGGCACCTGACCCAAGCATTCTTCATCATCTACCTCTTCTTCAGTAGATCTTAAAATTGCAGAGCTGTCAGAATCTCCACGTTTGCCACTATCGGCCTGACTAGTAAGAAAGAAGCCAAAATTACAAACAGTATAGAACACCAAGCAGGGAAAAGTCAAACTATTGCTAACAACAAAATCATTAGGAAAGTAATTAATTCTAAGAAAAAGGTATATAAAAAAAAGCAGCAGCTTAATATGTAGAGAACAATCCCATACGTGCACACACTTTTGCGACAAGTGCAACGAATCCATAGTTTTGAAAATACCGCAACTGACACAAAGCCAACATGAATCAAATATGGAATCCAATGTTAACATTTGATGGGACAAATGTTATCCACACATATACATAAACAAATAAACATGTGTATTAACACATTTCACACGTGTTCAATTGCTATTAAGACTCAACAGTAGTCAATTTGTAACAAAAATTGCAAGGAAACAGGGGACCATTTAGCTAATTTGATATTTATTAAGAAGTGCCCAGATTACATAAATATAAAATAAAGAAAATGCAAGTGTATGTGGATGAGAGGGAGGCAGGAGGGAGGTTCAAGGGCTTAGTCTTCTGATTCAGCTTTTCCATTTGCTAATTCCTTTTTGTCAATCATAATTCCATAATCTTGGTGAATTAGTGGAGAATAACTTAGCATGTACTCAAACAGAACATAATGAGAATTTGAAAGATAAGAGGGGTGGATGAAAGAAAAATGAGAGAGATTGATCAGCCACACTGAATTTTGTATCTCCACAATCAATTAACAACCTTGATTACAATCCCATCAGTTGCTGATACAATAGCCCTCTGACATTATTATCTGCTACTTGTCTAACTTTCCAACTCAGAATAACACCAGTCAGCACATTAAAGGCCTGCCAGTTACTATCAATTAGAGACTAAATCACAAACCACAGTGAACTTCTTAAGTCCACTATTTAATCCCACCAAGAGCTACAAGAATCTAATAAACTTTCATGTTAAGAGACGGAACAGTTAGTTCTTTGACAAATTGCATTTCTTCTCACACACACGGCATGAATGATACTGATAAAGATCCCCTGGCTTAATTTTTGGAAAGTACTTGAGCTAACATTCTGGTAATTTTGAAAGCAAGTGCAGATGAAGAGAAAACATAAAAAAGATAAAAAGCTCGGAGCCTGAAAGTAATCAACTTCCTGACAAATGGCCCTAGGTTCTAACAGGAACAATACATCCAAAATCAATAGTATCACAAGGGCAGACAATTTTTGGTACAAGGCCAGCGTAAGATATCTGATTCTTGGTAAACTAACTTTTGTGAGAACATTTGGAAGAAGGGCCGATAATGTAACAATTGTACTAAAACAAGCTACAGTAACTAATTACTGTACAATTATGTATGTATTTTCCTTAACTGATTTTTGGATAGGAAGTACCTTCAGAAGTACGTACATCCCAACCGCAAAAACAAGAATTAGATCAAACTCAACTGTACTAATAATGGACCCAGTCTGGATAAGATCTTACTCTCAAGCAGTACATCTTTGTTTGATTACACCACAAGCGTACCTTAAATGATCAGTTATGCATATAGCCCTAATTCTCATTAAACTCAGTCAGTTCAAGAAATTCATCTAGCCATAATAGGCATATAATATGTATGATCTGATTCATGTTCTGCTAGTTGGGATATAACAGAAATCTCAACCAGCTGAACATCAATTAGATCACGATCAGCCTGTGTTTGCCTTGTGAATCTGTATGCGTACCTTAGATGATCCATTATCCATATAGCCATAATTTTGATTAAACTCAGCCAGTTCAAGAAATTCATCTATTTGCCACTGTGAAATGCTGGAAGCTGCTGAACCTCCAGAATAGGGCAGCTTAGCAGGCCCAAAGTCTCCAACTCCACAAACATTTGCAGGCAAAACTTGATTGCATGAACTAACCAAAGGCATTGAGGTGCCTCTTCTAGAAATAGGACGTGATTTTGTTTCCGAGGTTGTTTTTTCCTCTGAAGGTGACTTCCCACAGGAATAGGAAGCCCCAGGATCAGTAGGTTCTAGACCTACCTTTACACCAGTGAGCAGAAACCTCTGATGAGCAGACACATGGGTATTTGCTGTGTGTATGGCAACATCACATTTCCTGCAGAGCAACGCTCGATCTTCTAGACAAAAGAAAAAACCAGCAGTCTCCTGTAATAAGCAACAGATTCACTAGTTAATAAACAACAATACAATCTTATAATCTGTTGTAAATATAGTAAGTCCATTACAGGATTGATTCTCATGTAAATATAGTAAGTCAATTATAAGGCTGATTGAGGAACTAATTTCTAGGAAGTTAATGACAGCTTGATTCTAGAGATTTATCATATGTGTGTGTATATATATATATATATTGTACTCATGCACTTCAATATGTGAAATATATTATTCTATTCTCATATTTCTACATGGCATTAGAGCCTTGCTGCCCTAATTGAGTAGCTGCTGTCATTGCCCTAGCAAGCTATCATATTTTTTCTCTTTTCGCTGCTGCCCTAGTGAGCCGCTGCGACCTTGTTGTCCTATTTCCTTCCTTTCTTTTTGTTTAATGGCCGATGAAACAGAGAAGAAAACTATGATCTCCGATGTTATTACAGTTCATACTGCAAACTTTGCAGCCCAAGAGGCTAGTTCTGTCTCTTCCTCATCCGAGAAGTTTATAATGGTGTCTACCGATGACTTTGCTCAGTTTACTCAGCATCAATCCTCACTAAAGTCTTCCAATCCGCCTCCAGCTATCAACAAGAAGAGAGATAAACCTACTACATGTCTTTGTGTCATCCTCTTCCAAATGGGTCATCGATTCAAGTGCTATAGATCACATGATAGGTAATAAAGATATTCTCTCCTCCTTTGCTTCACATAAAAATCTTCCTAGTGTCACTCCGGCTGATGAATTAACCACATCCGTTATAGGAATTGGGACGGCTTTTCTTACATCATCTCTCTCTTTGTCATCCGTGTTATATTTACCCGATTTTTCACTTAATCTACTATCGATCAGTAAAATCACTCGAGCTCTCAATTGTTGTGTCTTATTTTTTCTTGACTATTGTCTATTTTAGGATCTTATGACGGGAAAGATTATTGGTAAAGGACGTGAGTCCGGAGGGTTGTATCATCTTCAACCTATATCACAACCTATACCATGACCTATCGCTTGTTCCAGTATTATAACACTTCTAGAGATGCATTATCGGTTAAGGCATCCTTCGTTGTTGGTTTTAAAGAAATTGTTTCCTTAGTTTCAGAATTTATCTCGCTTTAGAAAGTGAGTCATATCGGTTTGCTAAACACTATCGTGTGTCGTATTTTTTAGGGTCGGTAAATAGGTTATGTCACCCTTTAAGTTAGTTCATTTGGGTCCTTGTTCGGTGACTTCTACAATCGGCTTCCGATACTTTGACACATTTGTTGATGACTATTCTCGTGTTATTCGGTTATATTTAATGAAAAATAGATAGAATTGTTTTCTATATTTTGTGTTTTTTGTGCTGAAATTCGAACTCAATTTAATGTTTTAGTATGTGTTTTGAGGATTGATAATGCGAAAGAGTATTTCTTTGAGTCATTCAATACCTATATGACACAAAATGGAATTCTTCATCAATCATCATGCGTCGACACACCACCTCAAAATGGTGTTGCTGAACGAAAAAATAAACATTTACTAGAGGTTGCTAGAGCCCTTCTTTTCCGGATGAAAGTTCCTAAACAATTTTGGGCTGATGCTCGTGTCTAAAGCATGTTTCTTAATCAATCGGTTACCCTTCTCTATTCTTTTTGGTGATACTCCTCATTCGTTTTATTCCCTTCTCGGCTTTTATTTCCAATAGAACCATGTGTCTTTGGTTGAACGTGATTTTGTTCGTGATGTTAATCCCAAAGTGTCTAAGTTAGATTCAAAAGAACATTCTCATCGTCGAAAGGTTAAAGGTGTTATTCTTCTACTTTGGGTCGTTATTTGATTTCGAGTCGATGTAACGTTTTTTTAGACTAATCCATTTTTTCATGAACCTACTATATATAATTATGAGGAGGAGAAAGTTGATATTCTCATATATACCGTGACTACAACTACCGAATCTCATACTACGAGATCTACAACCAAATCAGAACTCACATCCTCTCGCTAGCTCTTCCATCTATAGATCTTAGTCTTGATCTTCCCATCGCTCTTCGTAAAGGTAAACGGCAATGCTCTCATCCTATCTCTTCATTTGCTTCTTATGATCACTTGTCTCCTAATTTGCGCTCGCTTTATTGCTTCGTTAAATTAGGTGCCCGTACCTAAAACATTACATGAGCCCTTGTCCCATCCCGATTTGCGGACTGCTATGGAGAAGGAAATGATGACTTTAAACGGTAATGGGACTTGAGAATTTGTGCATCTGCCAAAAGGTAAACAGGTTGTTGGTTGCAAATGAGTGTACGTTGTCAAGGTTAATCCCGATGGTTTTGTGGCTCATCTCAAAGCTCAATTAGTTGCAAAAGGATGTGCTCAAACATATGGTGTAGATTATTCTGGTACTTTTTCTCTAGTTACTAAACTTGCATCTGTCCATTTGTTTCTCTCTCGTTGCTATTAATGGTTGGCTCTTACATCAATTAGATGTTAAGAATGTTTTTCTTCATGGTGATTTGCAAGAGAAAGTTTATATGAAGCAACCACTCGGGTTTGTTGCTCGGGGGGTATGGGAAAGTCCGTAAACTTCGAAAGTCTTTGTATGGGCTAAAACAGAATCCTCATGCTTGGTTTGAGTGATTCAGTACTGTAGTTCAAGAATTTGATATGAAAAAGAGTACTTATGACCATACTATTTTCTACCAACGGTCGAACACTAGTATTATCTTGTTAATTGTATATATTGATGGTATTTTAGCCCTTAAGTCTTTTCTCCATACCAAATTCCAAACAAAAGACTTGGGTTTATTAAAGTATTTCTTGCGTATTGAAGTTGCCGGGTCCAAGAAGAGTATTTATCTTTCTTAACGAAAGTATATTCTTGATCCACTAAAAGAAACTAAAAAATTAGGAGCTAAGCCTTCTAGTGTACCAATGGCTACTAATCTACAACTTACAACGAGATGATGGAGAGTTATTTGTTGATCCCGAGAGATATCACAAGTTAGTTAAAAAACTAAATTATCTCACAGTAACTCGTCCCGACATCGCATATCCCGTCAACATTGTGAGTCAGCTTATGTCCTTTTCTTGAGTTACTCATTAGGCTGCATTATAACAAATCTTATGTTATCTCAAAGAGACTCTAGGGCGTGGTTTATTCTATAGTAATCATGGCTATTCCAGGTATTGAGTGTTTCTCGGATACGGATTGAGCTGGATCTAAGACCGACAAAAGATCTACTACAAGGTATTGTGTTTTTGTTGGTGGGAATTTGGTGTCATAGAAAAGCAAGAAGCGGAATGTTGTGTCTCTATCTAGTGCGGAATCGAGTATAGAGCTATGGTCCAATCCACATATGAACTTGTGTGGATATCTCAATTGTTAAATGAGATTGATCTTGAAAATCCTCTTCTCATGAAATTGTGATGTGACAATCAAGTCGCTCTTCATATCGCATCAAATCCAATTTTTCATGAAAGAACTAAGCATATCGAGATCGATTGTCACTTTATTCGTGAGAAAATTCAACAAGGATTGAACTCTACAAGTCATATCAAAACTGGAGAACAACTAGGCCATATCTTCACCAAAGCTTTAGGGGGTCCTAGGATTGATTATATTTGTAACAAGCTGAGCATGATTAACATCTATGCTCCAGCTTGAGGGAGAGTGTTGTAACAACAATAAGTCCTATAGGATTGATTCTTATGTAAATATAGTAAGTCAATTATAAGGCTGTCAATTATGAGGTTGATTGAGGCGCTAATTTCTAGGAAGTTAATGACAGCTTGATTGTAGGGATTTAGATTGATCCTCTCTCTCTCTATATATATATATATATATTGTACTCATGCACTTCAATATGTGAAATATATTATTCTATTCTCATATTTCTACATAATCCATATTCCAGTAAATTCAATATGGTTCCGGCCAAGATGCAAAGCAAAAGAAAGATATACTGTGAGCTTGAAATGACAAGGGGCAGGAGACAGCCTATAGCAAGTAGAACAATAACTCCTCACATTTTTAAACCATTGAAAAGAACATGCTGCAATAGGGAACTAGAAAGCTAGAACCTACAAAGCATGGATTCTGACTATTATAAGTACATGTCACGGTGTTGAATAAAAAGACATCTGGTTATGAAAATGACAAAGAAATTTACCATGCATATAAATATTTTTAAGTTGCTAACCTTTTCACCGTTGAAAAATAGATGACTTAGACGTTAAAAGTTAATGGATAATTGGACAACTGCCCCCAAAAGAGCAAAATGTAGATTTCACAAAAAGGAACTTTACATTTTCTGAAAAATGCAGGTTGCCTTCATGAGGCATAACTAGCTGATATTTACAAGTTTGTTGCCAAACCACAAAAATGATTTCTTATTCTCAATTGCCTCGGTTTACATTTTCCCTCAGAATATTTGTTAAATATAGTCTTCCAAAACATTAAGTTACCTTGAATGTGGCCTTGAAAAACCAGCAGTTTAACTGTTATTCACATCTAACTATCCTACTCTGCTTAATTGAGATTGATATACTTTATTAAATTGCGTAGGACAAAAAAAAAAAAAAAAAGTGAGAATGTTTCGACATAATTGTATAAGAATACAAAAACCAAGCTAGTTTCTTCTCTTTAGTAGCAGAGCTGCAGAACCAGGATTTGTTTATTTATTAACTTATTTGGGTGGGGAATGTTTGCAGAACTTGAAAGAAAGAGAAGCTAAACTTTGCCCTTACTTTGGAGTATCAAGCAAAACCTCCAATACCCTCAACTCTTAGGTTGGATAGTCTTAGAAAGACGTTAGAGACCATTCCACCAAACCCTAAACCCAGAATTATGTTGAGTTTGCAATTAATTAAAAATCTAAAAAGCTAATATAGGCCTAAATTTCAAATTAAGCACAGTTTACAAATTTTTTTCCTTTCCTATTACTTTGACAAACTCAAAATCAAAATTCTAAACCCTTGATCCCTTCCGCTCCTATTAGGCTTAAAACATTTCCCAGAAGTCCATAATCATAACTAACACAACAGATGTCAAATCCAAAATCTTATCGATCACACAAATCCAATAGCATCATCAAATTTTAAAAATATATATAATTACCTGACAAATATCACATTTAGGCATCTGAGGAGAAGAAGTAGAAAGAGGAACCCTTTGATGTTTACTAGCAAGCTTGTTAGCTGCATGAACCTTCTCGTCACAAGTCCAACACAACGCCGCCTCGTCCGCACAACACAGCACGTTCGCCTCCGCTGCCTCACAAACATTGCACTGTATCTTCATCTTCCCTCTCTCTAAAAACTCTCAATCTTCTTTTTCTTTTTCTCTCTAAAATACTATGTTTCTTTCTCTCTTCTTCCACAACCTTAAACAAACTCCTCTCTGTCTCTAAAAATCCTATCTTTTTTCTCTCTTCTTTCTACTTAAAAAAAAAAGCCTTTTTTTTTAATTTGTTCTCCTTGAATCTGACTTTCTCCCTTGTAACTAAATCCCAGTTTGTGTTTCCCTCTCACGCTTCCCACAAATTTCCAAACCTCAATCCAGTCTCCCTCTCCCTCTATCTCCAAAGGAGGAAAAGAATTGGAAAAAAGAGAAGAACAGGATTATTTATGGAGATAATTTTGTATATACGAGTAATAAATAAATGTGGGGGAGAAGAGAGATCTTTTGGGAAAAAAGAAGAGGATGAGATAGAGCCACAAGAGCTGATTTATACAGTAATTGAAAAATTGAAAAAGAGTGAACAAGAAGGAAACAAGTGAGCCAACCGCTGACTCATTTCTTCTCTCTCAAACTTTGAACCTTTGAGTTGGGGATATTTTTAGCGGCGCCCATCATTTTTTTATTGTACACGTGGCAGGTTTGCGATTTTGTCCCAGTTAAAGGAGACCACTTTCGGGGTTTGGGCTGTGTATTGTAAGAAGATAAAAGAAAGAGAGTGTGCAGCACGCGCTACACATTTTTTCCTCCTGAATTTTCTACTGAGTTTTAGATTCCACGTGGCAGCCTGGAATGGTGTCCAAGATTCTACGTGGCAGATCCTCGACTGGTGTTCCAACTGTGGAATTCAAATAAATTATAAATTAATCCCTCTAACGAATTAATTAGTTGAAAAAAAAAAAAACGATGTAAGAATTTATAATAACTGGTTGGGCCTGGACGGATCCAATTAGCCCATCCCTTCTTCTTCAGTTCTTTTGCCCTTTTTCATAAGCCGAGAAACCAAAATACCCAATGTAAGAGTATTTGCTGTTGAAAGTTGGAACAATGGAGCTTCGTAATCATTTTTATTAAATAAATTGGTGCTTGATAATCTATAAAGCAAATGAAGTAATTCACAGAGGATATGCTGTCAGTATTAAACTAACTTTTAAAGTTGAGTTAATTATATTTTAGGTATTCATGTTTATTAATTTTTTCTATTTAAGTGTGTATTTTTAATATTTATATTAAGAGATCCAACTTTCATTTTTTTGTTTGAATAGTTCTATTAAATCTTTAATGATGTATTCGTCAACTGCATATCTTGCATCATTATGCGGACCTTATTATTAGATACATGGCAATAAAAAAAATTAAAAATGAAAAAAAGAGTCAAGTAAATTAATGAGTTAATTATATTTTGTGTGTGTGTCAATTTTAATTTTTTATATTTGAATATACCAATTTATAATTTTTTTAATTTAAATTATTTCATTAACTTTATGCTAATGTGGTTATTAACTCGAATATGTGGCACCAAATTGTGGATTCCATTGTCAAACATGTGACAACTAAATAAAAAAATTATCACATATTTAGTGTAGAAACTTGTTAATATTTCTATTTGAGTGTGTAAACTATAATCTTGCTATTTAAGTATACTAATTTGTATTTTTCTTTTTTCTACTTGAGTGATTTTGTTAACTTTTGACTAATGTGTCCGTTAACCACACACATGGCACCATTCATGTGGATCCATTATCAAACATATGACTAGGATATCTAGGATGAGTAGAACTCTTTTGTGGTACTTTTGGAAGTTGATGGTGGTCGAGTACTTCTAACTCGATTATATCTTCTTCTTCTTCTTCTTTCTTTTTCTTCTTCTATGTTACCCTCCAACATCAACAATTGTAGTTCGTCCATTCATCTTGATTTATTTTTAAAAAATAGTTTGGTTGAAGTTGGCGATTCTAATATGTTATAGGTTTTTATGTTAATGGCAACGAGTGAGTTTTTTTTTTTATGGTGTTGGGTAAGATGAATTGATTAGAAAGTTTCTTATTTAATTTTATTATTTATTTTTGTGCTAGTGTTTTTTTTATCCTTTATTTTTAGATACAAATTTTTTTTAAATAATTTTAAAAAAATTTTAATTTGGGTTTGGTGATAGGAAGTTTCTAGTTGCTATATGTGGTATGAAATTTCTAGCTGCTATAAGTTTAACAATAGATCCTACATAATGGTATTACATGTATAGTTAATAGACACATGATCCTAGAGTTAGCAAAATCACTCAAATATAAAAAATTGCAAGTTGGTATACTAAAATAGCAAGATTAAAGTCTACACACTCAAAAAGAAAAAAAAATGACAAGTTTGTACACCAAAGATGAATTAACTTTTTTTGCTAGTTGCCACATGTCCGATAGTAAAGCTTATAATTTGATGTCACGTATAAGTATAAAGTTATCGAAAGTTAAGAGAACCATTCAAATAGAAAAAAATTAAAACTTGGTATACTCAAATAGTAAAGATCAAAGTTGACACACTTAAATAGAAAAAAATGACAACTTCATACACCAAAAATGTAATTAACTCATAAATTAACTTAAAAATAAAAATTAAAAGAGAGAGAGAGAGAGAACAAAAAGATATTGATCTTCCTTTCCCTTTTATTTTGTCGTAATCTAGAGTCGCTACCCGATGTTCGTGGGACTACCATAATTTTATTTTATGATTATTTTGTTTGAAAAATCTATTTGTTTAGATAGATAAGTTATTATTAATTTTGGAGTCACCGTCTAGTATTAAAGGCACTAAGAACTTAAAAATGACACGAGTTCGTAGATTATAAGGTAAAAAGTTGTTTATATCTTTAGAAAGATATCAATCACCCAAAAGCATCATTTCCTAAAAAAAGTACCATGTCTAGTTTAGTCCTAAAATGTATATCCCGAAAATTTTTATTTTTGATAAAATTGATCCTAAGTCAAAATTCTACGTTCTATTTCCTAAGCCAAATTAATTTTTTTTATTTTTATTTATGACATCATATTGAATTAATCGTCAAACCCCTCCATTGAATATCTCATCAATTCAATATCGGATCCAGCTTTAAGTCTCGATATAACTTGTATGTCGAAAAATACCCTAATTACTAAGGGTGGTTAATTTCATTCAATTAACAACATTGATCCCTATCGGATATGAGACTTGTTAAATTAACTTAGCATTTTCTTTATTTTCTTTATTTGTTTTTCCTTTTATTTTTTTATTTTTGGTATTTTTTAAAGTTGGACAAATATGTCGAAACCACCATTCATTGTTAATAAATAGGAGACTCGTTGGTCTAACATCACAACCAAATGAAAATCCATGTACTAAGATAAAATTTACAATCGAAATATTTTTACATATTCTAACACATCTAAAATTAAATAATTATCAAAAAAATAATATAATAAAATAATAAAAAATGCTAGGAGAAACAAACCAAATAGTTATTAAATGGTGACCAAAATGCCTTTGGAATGCTACTAGAAAAAAGCAAAATACCCCTATTTTCTAAAAATGATAGAATTGCCTCTAGTGTTAAAAATGATCGAATTGCCCTTGTTTACTATCGAAGGTCATTGTCGGTCGTTTGGTCACTAATCGGTGTGTGGATCACTCTAATGTGTAGGGGACATCCGGATAGACCTACTAGTTTTGGAGGTGATTACCATCGTCGCCTAAGGAAGGAGATTGACTATCGAAAAGTTTTGGTTGATCTCCTCCTTTCTTTAGATCAATTTCGATCCCTATGACGCCCCCACCCTCGTTCACTCTCTATTACCTAAATAGGAGTAACTAGACGAGGCATGACACACCGACATGACCAATTTTCGAATTAACCTTAAACACATACGTGCTCATACGCTAAGGACTTATCATACAATGAAACGCGATCAAGATAATTTACATGATATTAACAAAACAGGTGAAAAGAATTACAAAATTTAATTATAATACCCTCAAAATATTTATTGACACCCCAACTCCAAAATTACAACAAACGAACTCCCTTAAAGTTTATGTCATCCCCGAGCCCTTTTGGAGGATCCGACAAGCATCCTTACTACTTTGAGTCATTCCCGTCATAACATGTAAATAACAACGAGGTGAGCCGAAGCTTAGTAAGTAGGGTGATGCACGTGATATGTAATGAAGTTTTGTTTTCCATTCTACCTATTCATTTTTAATTCAGCTACCCTAGGTATTAGCAAATCCGTGCATTTCATCTCTCGATGATTTCATTATCACCTACTGCTCTATTACTCTCTCTCAATGATCTCATTATCACCTACCGCTTACAACGAATTACCCCTCGTTGTAGCACACAATTAGCGGAATTATCCCTCGCTTAACGGTGTTAGTAATAGAGCGCACACATAGATTTATACTATTACCCATTCCATTAAAATCGATTACCAAACTGCATTATTTCATAACTCAATTATCTTTTTCAATTTCATATCAACCCCGAATGCACGTGATGCATATGGTATTATATTTAACACATTCAACTAATTATGCTATCATTATTTTCTTCTCGGACCCTTCCCGTGTCCGATGCACACTCGAGACTTCACGGATGTTTCATATACCATTTAAAGTATTCAAAATGAGAATACAATTTCCATTCATGGGTAGCATTCATTGTGTAAATCTATTTCGTAATTGCGAGTTTTTCCTTCTTGTGTACCTAGCAAGTCTACGCTTGGATTTTTTTTTATTATTTTTTTTTATAACATACCCTCTCTAAACTTCATTTTATTCCTATTTAGGTCTATTCATTATTTTTTTATTTTAATCATTTTCTTACTTAGGCCAAAAGGATTATTTAGTGAAAACCCTAGGAATTCATTTTCCCTCCTTTCTAATTTAGGATTTATTATAGGACAACCTCTAATCAAGTTGGTAACGTATCAACTTTTGAGAATAATTAAATCATATCCTTTTTTTATTAGAAACTAGACATATTGATTCATAACATATCTGAAAATTAGGTTTAAATACCAAACACACACTTTATAACA